CTGGAGAACACCATCACTCACCACACGCGGTGATTGAATAATTCAGGGTTATTCTGCGTGGCGAATGAGGTGGGGTGACTCGAGTCACTCGTGTCACCCGATTCCAGCTGGCGAGTGAGGTGAGAAAAGTCACTTGGGATGAATCCGGTGAACTCTCACCTTATTCTCACAGTCGTATTTCGGTGACAAAAGTCATACTGAAGTGACGATTTTAAGTGACAAGAGTCATAACCTCCGCTGCAGTCGACTGGATGGAAAACCTTAGAGTTATATAAGCGATGGTTGCGGTTTTCGGCAATTTATTACTTCTAAATTTGTTTCAATCAATTTTTCGGCTTCCTCAATATGAGTATTTTTGGAATCGGAGTGACGTGTAGGGTTCGGAAATCGATGTCTGAGGTCATTTTGAAATTCAATATGGCGGCTTCCGGTAGGAAATTTTTTGGAAATTCTGTCAAATACCCCTCTATTTGGGTATTTTTTAGAATTGGAGTGACGTGCAGGGTCCGAAAATAGATGTCTGACGCCATTTTGAATTCAGTATGGCGGCTTCCGGTGGGAGAAAAACTGGGAATTATTACCAAATTACCCACAGTATGAGTATTTTTGGAATCTTGGTGACGTGTAGGGTTCGGAAATCGATGTCTGAGGCCATTTTAAAATTCAAGATGGTGGCTTCCGGTTGGAGAAAAACTTGAAAATTCTGTCAAATACCCCTCAATATGGGTATTTTTGGAATTTGGGTGCCGTGTAGTGAACGGAAACCCATGTCTGACGCCATTTTGAATTCAATATGGCAGCCTTCGGTTAGAGAAAAAATTGGAAATTCTACCAAAAAGCCCTCAATATGGGTATTTTTAAAATCTGGGTGACATGTAGGGCCCTGAAACCCATGTATGGCACAATTTTGAATTCAATATGGCGGCTTCCGGCTAGAGAAAAACTGGGAAATACTGCCAAATAAATCCACAATATTAGCATTTTTGGAGTCGGGGTGACGTGTGGGGACCGAAAAACCATGTCTGACGTCTTTCTGAAATTCAATATGGCGGCTTCCGGTAAGAGAAAAACTCGGAAATACTGTAAAATTACCCACAATATTGGTATTTTTGGAATTTTGGTGACGTGTTGTACCGGAAATAGATGCCTGACGCCTCTTTGAAATTCAAGATGGCGGCTTCCGGTTGGATAAAAACTTGTAAATTCTGTTAAATACCCCTCAATGTGGGTATTTTTGGAATCCGGGTGACGTGTAGGGACCGGAAAACAATGTCTGATGTCTTTCTGACATTCAAAATGGCGGCTTCCAGTTGGTGAACTATAAAACTTGGAAATTCTGTCACATATCTCACTATATAGGTATTTTTGGAGTTCGGCAGACGTGTGAAAAACGGAAATCGATGTCTGAGTCCGTTTTGAAATTCAAAATGGCAGCTTCCGGTTGGAGAAAACCCTGGAAATTCTGTCAAATACTCTACAATATGGGTATTTTTGGAATCGGGGTGACGTGTAGGGTCCGTAAGTCCATATCCGACGCCTTTTTGAGATCCAAATTGCAGTTTCCAGGTAGAGGAAAATATAAAAATACTGTCAAATATCCCTCAATATGATTATTTTTGGAATCGTTGATGTGTAGAGACCGGAAATTCATGTCTGAGGCTATGTTGAAATCCATGATGGTGGGTTCCGGTAGAAGAAACACTTGGAAACATTGTCAAATACACCACAATATGGGTATTTTTGGAATCGAGGTGACGTGTAGAGCCCGGAAAGCAATGTCTGACGCCTTTTTGAAATCCAATTTGGTGGCTTTCGAATGCAGAAAAATAGAAAAAATACGGATGGGTTTTCCGTCCTTACACGTCACTCCGATTCCAAAAATACCAATATTTACCCCTCAATTGGACAGAATTCAAAATGTCTCTACACATCACCACAAGCAAAAATACCCATATTGAGGGGTATTTGATAGTATTTTTCAAATTTGTCTGTAACTGGAATTTCAAAAAAGGCGTGAGACATCGATTTCCGGTCCCAACACGTCACCAAGATTCCTGAAATACTCATAAGGCGGTGTATTTGACAGAATATCCCAGTTTTTATTTAACCGGAAGCCGCCATCTTGGATATCAAAATGGCACCGGGCTTGGGTTTCCGGTCGATATACGGCACCCCATTTCCAAAAATACCCATAGTAAGGGGTATTTGACAGAATTTCCAAGTTTTCTTCAACCGGAAGCCGCCATATTGAATTTCAAAACGGCCTCAGACATCGATGTCCGGTCCCTACACGTTACCAAGATTCCAAAAATATCCATATTGTGGCTAATTTGGCAGCATATCCCAGTTTTTCTCTAACCGGAAGTCGCCATGTGTAATTAATATGGCGTCTGGCATGGGTTTCCGGTCCCTACACGTCACCTTGATTCAAAGAATACCCATATTGTGGATAATTTTACAGTATTTCCCAGTTTTTCTCCAACTGGAAGCCGCCATATTGAATTCAAAATGGTGTCAGAAACGGGTTTCAAGTCTCTACACGTTACCATGATTCCAAAAATACCCATATTGAAAGGAATATGACAGAATTTCCTAGCTTTTCTCTAACCGGAAGATGCCATATTAAATTTTAAAATGGCCTCAGACATCCAGACATCGATGTCCGGTTCTTACACGTCACCACGTCACCAATATTGTGAGGTATTTGACAGAATTTCCAAGTTTTTCTCTAGCTGGAAGCGGCCACCTTAATTTTTCAAAACGGCCTCATACATCTATTTCCGGTCCCTACACGTCATCAAGGCTCCAAAAATACCCATATTGTGGGTAATTTGGTAGTACTTCCCAGCTTTTCTCTAACCGGAAGTGGCATATTGAATTCAAAATGGTGTCAGTTATGGGTTTTAAGTCCTTACACTTCACCAAGATTCCGAAAATACCCATATTGAGAGGTATTTGACATATTTTTTTTAGTTTTTCTTCAACCGGAAGCCACCATCTTGAATTTTAAAATGGCCGGACATCGATTTCCGGCCCTTACACGTCACCCCTACTCCAAAAGTACCAATATTGTAGGATATTTAACAAAAGTCGCCATATTGAATTTCAAAAAGACTTCAGACATCTATTTCCGGTCCTTACACGTCACCAAGATTCCAAAATACCCATATTGTGGGTAATTTTGCAGTATTTCCAAGTGTTTCTTTAACCGAAGGCTGGCATATTGAATTTCAAAATGGTGTCAGACATGGGTTTCAAGTCCCTACATGTCCCTGATTCCAAAAATACCCATATTGAGAGGAATTTGACAGAATTTCCAAGTTTTTCTTTAACCGGAAGCCGCCATATTGAATTTTAAAATGGCCTCAGACATCGATGTCCGGTCCTTACACGTCACTACGACTCTAAAAATACCAATATTGTGAGGTATTTGACAGAATTTTCAAGTTTTTCTCTAGCCGGAAGCCGCCATCTTGAATTTCAAAACGGCCTCGTTTATCGATTTCCGGTTCCTACACGTCATCAAGACGCCAAAAATACCCATATTATGGGTAATTTGGCAGTATTTCCCAGCTTTTATCCAACCGGAAGCTGGCATATTGAATTTAAAATGGTGTCAGACATCTATTTCCAGTCCCTACACGTCGCCAAGATTCCAAAAATACCCATATTGTGTGTAATTTGGCAGTTTTTCTCTAACAGGAAGTCGCCATATTGAATTTCAAAAAGGCCTCAGACATCGATTTACGGTCCTTACACGTCACCCCGACTCCAAAAATACCAATATTGTGGGATATTTGACAAAAATTCCGAGTTTTTCTCCAACCGGAAGCCATATAGAATTTGAAAAAGGCGTCAGACATAGGTTTCCGGTCCCTACACGTCATCAAGATTCCAAAAATACCCACATTGGGATGTTTTTCACAGAATTCCCAAGGTTTTTCTCCACCCGGAAGCCGCCATCTTGAACTTAGAAAAAGGTTTCAGACATGGTTTTCCGGTCCCTACACGTCAACAAGATTTAAAAAAAAATACCCAATATTGTGAGTGATTTGGTAGTATTTCCCTAACCGGAAGCCGGAGACCGGATGGAATTCGATTTTGAAATCGGTGTTAGGGAGAGCGCTTTTCACAGGCAATCGGTGATAATTCTAACTATCATAGCAACAGTTGCACATTCTTGCAATTTTCAATAGTATATAAAAATTATAAAGTCCTAATTTTAACAGATTCCTATGGATGGGCGTATTAAGAATTAAAATCCATCATCTCTGGATCAAAGTCAGACCACTTTCATGCCGCGACCGACTTTGGTTTTTTTTTTAATTGTACCCCCCATGTTGTTCGTTTGTGTTATTAGGGTGTTCAACACAGATGAGACTGGTGAGTTGAATGTTGTTTGGAACGAGGGTGACGCACTTGGCATAGATGGGTCACAGTGACTAACGAAGAGTTACTGTTTCCTATCATTAGCGGTTCGGCTTATTCCTCCTTCTTTGGTGAATAGACGCTCATGTGGGCTGCAGCTCGCTGCTTGCGGGCAGCCTTCCGTTGTGTACTGGGGAACAATATTCGACGGTACGTGCCGTAAGCACTGCTGCTGCTGCTGCTGCTGATGATGAAGACCAACCGGAAATCACCACACACGGTGATTGAATAATCACCGATCAGTGAGATCGGATGGAATTCGATTCTGAAATCTGTGTTAGAAAAATCGGTGATAAGTTTGATCATCATTGTAACAGTTGGACATTTATATAGTTTTCAATAGTGTTCATTTTAGCAGATTTGTGGAAAAATTTCCAATCGATTGGCTTGTTTAGAACTAAAATCCATCCGCTATTGACAGAGTTATAAGTGGTCAAAACCTGACCACTTTTCGTAATACAGTCAATTTTGATTTTTTGAAATGGCACCCTCAATATGTTGCCGAAAGACGTAATCCTACGTCAAAAAAACTTCACGGGAGCAATTCCAATATAACTCCGGGGAGCCTGCATATATGCGAATACGTGTTATTGGGTCTCCAATGTTAAATAAACCGTAGTCTGACCGTTCATAATCTGCACACTTTTTAGATTGAATCCTGCTAATCTGCACGCCGTGCAAACTAAAAACTGCTCAAACGTCATCTAGCACACGGAACAGAGAAAATCAAAATGGAACGTTCCGAACGCAGAACCAAAACAAAACATTTCTGATGGTCGACTTTTCTGATGGTCGTAGGGTTACTAGAAGTTCAAATTAAAAATGAACGCAGTATCGTGCAGATTAACGGGGGTCAACGGTATTAGCAAATTGCATATCCTAAACACAAATCCTCATGGAGAAATGGAAAAATTACAATCACAAAAAGTTGCTTCGAAATCCGTATCAACACTCCTGATGATCAACCATGAAAAGAGCCACCATTTTTTATGTCTTATCCCTCAACCTCCAGTCTCAATGCTGATTTGCAGTTTCGTATTCTTGTTTAGTTTACTATTGCTGACGGCAGGAGCTGTCATGATTTTCCTTCTGATTTGTTTTTGTTTTTGTTGTCATTCGCTACTGCGGTGCCGATTATCGACTCTTCAACAATGTACACAATTTGGATTTAACTAATCACTTTCTCCCGTTTGATTTGCCCCCTTTTGACTAAGTATAAAAAAAATTCTTTCTGCCTCAACTTACTCAAGTATAAAACGTTCCTTTAATATATGAGTTGAGTTTTCAGTAATCTTCTGATTTACTTCTTTTTTTTGTTAGCTAATGTTTTCAATAAGTTTGCTGCGACTCTTGTTTTCCGTTTTGTTGTTGATAACTATCTCAAAAGTTACATGTGTGTGTGTGTGAGTGTGTTTGTTTAAAGGTTATATAGTTTTGTTTTGCTAGATTTGTTAATTATTGCAAGGTAAGTAGAGTAGAGCTGCTGTTTTGTTTTGATTTTTTTTCTATTATTTCTTTTCTTTTTCAATGAAAGTTGATTAGAAAAGGTTCGGTGCCTACTTTGGTTGCAGTTATGATGCGGAGGGAATGTAAACACAAACCAAAACAAGTGTTTGCTATGATTTGAATGAGGAATGCGGGTTTTAAAATTATGTACAACTGTTTTGTTGACAGTTCCTCGGATGAAGTCTAATAAAATCTATCAGTTATGTACAACGTGTAAATAGAAACCGGATTGAATTTAAGTAACTTTACTACACACACGATTTCTTTCTCGTTCCGTTTTTTCTGTTTTGTTTTTGTTTTTATTGGTATACACTGTCATTTTTTTTCTTCAATTTCTGACGTCAACTTATCTTAGAAAGATAAAAGTTCAATGTTTTCTCTATATGTTGATCAGTTATATAAAAAAGGAAAACTCTAAAAAAGTTTCTATAAGTGATGATGCCGACGCTAGAAGAGTGTGAGAGTGAGTATTGTTTTTATATCAATCGGTTAAAACCAGCCTCTCGCTATGCGTTCGGTTTTCGCTCTATTGTCCACTACGCACTACAATTACATCGTCGAAAGAAATCTATCGCTCTTCGAGTTCTTCTTTCATATGTGTCCTACGCATCGTTAATCAATTTAAAATTCTTTATGAAAATGTGAACATATTTTCTTAACTTGTAATCAGTCACCGCGAATAATTGAGTGAAAGTCCCGTGGTAGCCCAACAGGACCAGGGCCGCCAGCAGGAGGGCGAGCGAGGCCAGAGCCGCAATCAGTACCACCATCGCCAGGGTTCCACCGAGGAGAATCCACGAGGCCGGATCATCGCCAACGGCAGCGGCCGCGGCAGAATCACCCGGATTGAGGAATTGAACGATTTTGATACTACTACTACTACTACTATCGCTGTTAGGGCCGTCGTCATCGTGACGGTTGCTATAGGTCGTCACAGTAGCCGTTGGGGTCTCGAAAGAATTAACAATCGTAGTTGCCGGTGTTGTTGTTGCCGTTGCTGCAGCCGCTGCCGCCGCCGCCGCCGCAGTTGTTGTCGATGATAGCGATGATGGCGATGGTTGTTATGATACGAGGAAATTCGGCGCCGAGAATAAGACAGACAGCGTTGCGATGATCGTAAATAGCGTGAAGATGATAAGGCACAAACGATCGACCACCATTGCGGCAAACTTCCAATCACGAGTGACGTCGCTACTTTCGTCCTCTTTGCGAAGCTATAAAGGATGGAAAGGAGAGAAGCCATCGCTCATAATTGTAGACACTGTCTCGGAAACAAACTGTTGAGGAAATTTGAGGCCAAGCGTGAGGTTTTCTTCATCGCCTCATCGTTTGGCTGCAAATTGCGACGGTTTATTTGGCATTTCGCCGGTCCTTTTTGACGAGGCAATGTGTACATTTATAGTTTGCTTATCTGAGCTCGTGCTGTCAAGCCAACGGCGATGTCAGCTTCATGAAACCAATGCCAATATATATATATTTTTTAAATTTCTACAGAAATTCCCCCCATCGAAAGTTAATTTTTTCCAAAAGTTACAATCGAGGGGTGATTCACACGGAAAAAATTCCATCAATTTGGCATCGCTGCCGGCTCGAAAAATTGCACTACAACTCACCGTATCGGTGATGTATCGCAGCTCCTTCAGTATCAGTGCTAGTTCGTACTCGGCCGAGGAACTTAGACAGGTGTGCGATGAAACGGTTTCGTGCAGGCGACCACCAACGCCGCTGGCAGCACTGATCGTCCCTAGGCCGGCATTCCGTCCGATGGTATCCGTTGCGCCACCGCCTCCGAGTGGACCGACACTGCCATCCGCGTCTCCTTGCCGATACATCGTCCGGTAGTAGGTTGGATTGTGCGGCAGCGTGCTGCATCGATGATTGCACCGGAAGTCATCGTCAATGTCCAGTACGTTGGCCAGAAGGGACTTGGAAGATCTGCAGTTGGGAGGGGAACAGACGCACAGTACAGAGATATTTGTTTACATTCCGTAAAGCGAAAGCATCAAACATGCAGCGATAAAATGCCTTGCTAAAAAGGCGGTTTACACAATTTTCCGACACCCTATTGATCCGTCGTAGCCATGGAAATGCGAAGCAGAGTAAATAAACAAAAATGTCAGTGAACTAACCTCTCTCGCATTTCAACCTCCTGCAGTTGCTTGTTCTTCTCGTCCACAGACTGCCGACAGGGATGGGGAAACGGTTCGCCAGGTCGGCTCATTCGAAGAATGCACGGTAGCCAGCTCAAAAACACCACTCGAATCTGTCAAACGTAATTTTGAAATAAACACCGGTGTCGAATCTGTCCAATTCCATTTGTCACTTACCCATTCGGACATCACGTGCGTATCGGCATTCCGGTGATGGTAGTTTAGAATCAGAATCGTGGAAACCACCGATGAGGCCACCATGAACATGATACAATTGAAATAGGTTCCTGTTTGCAATAGAAGAAAGGAATAAAGGAGAAAACTGAGCGAAGCAATCAAAATTCCATTACCCAACAATTCGAAATTCCATCAATGCATCCTTTACAAGCGGTACAGCACTTCGCGTGAAGGAAGCTTGAAATGGATTCCTGTAATTTAATATAATATTTCAAATCCAACCTGTTGCATTTCTCCTCTTCTTCGTCTGAGTCGGAAGAGCAAACAGCTTGACGTTGTACAGCAGCTATCTAGGTACTACTTACACCTTCCGTCGTCCACGTCGTGCACTCGCTCGTTGTTGCTCTGTCAAAAGTCACACTACCAAGCCAACTGCAATTGACCCTCCTTCCCTTTGCAGCCCATCCCGTCTATCGTTTTACTTACATAACGACCAGTGCATCACCCCTTGTCGCTGCCATGGTCCGATGGTGGAGCGGTTGTTACAACTCTGACACATCGTAAGTTTATTTTCCTGTTTTTGCGAGGAACTTTCCCGTACAGTTTCACTCCCTGCTCGTTTAGATGAAGGTAAGTACCTACTGCATGGTGAATTGTGGAGGAGTACGGTCGACTCTACGGTTCGATCAGCTTTTTGGTTACCGCTGGGGATGGTCTTTTCGACGAAGTAAAATTGATTTTGAGGAAAACTTTGTGGTTGGTTAAAAAACGATAATAACCATGAATGTATTCAATTAGCAGCTTTCAGGTAAAATATGGAGGCGCTTGGTTAAGGGTAACGTGCACAGGGAGAGAAAAATCGATAGTTAATCCGCGGATACACTTGTATGACAAACTATGAACATGAGCATTATTTGTTTAATAAATTATGAGCACATCCTAATACTATACATACGTGACCATGGATGTCCTCATAATTTATGTATTATACAAATAATGCTGGTGCTAATCCGCGGCATTAGCTTTAGAGCTCGCAAAACTTAGGGCCAAGCGCAATGACAGCAGAAGCGGAAAAGCTCGATCTAATTAAGTCTACTAGTCGGATTGAAAACTAGTTAGAACCAAATTGCCCACATGGCGTTGGGGCACTTAATGTGCGCCAACTGCTTGCTCTGGGTGCCTCAGTGTGCTTCGTTGTACCGCAGCTGTGCCGAGAAGTAATTGAACTGTCTTTTGTTTGCTTACTAATAATGCCGTATTTGGCAACCCGGTATTTTGACAGCTCTTGTTTTTTTGTAGACGGAAAAATTCGACAGTTTCAGATGTCCAGATGTTGGATGTCACTCAAGACTGAAGAGGGTACAGGGGCTGATTGATGTAAGTATGAGTTACAGTCGATTAATTACCGGCCATTGAAATTATTTTTCACATTTTAAGCTATCGAACATTAATGAGCGCTACAAAGCGCTGCACCAAATGCACCGGTCGTCATCGCCATCAAGAACGGTCACTTTTGTTAAAAGAATGAGCCTACCTACACGCGAATGCATCCCTGCTGAGAACAACTACTGACAGACATTTAATACACACCGTCCCATCTATTAACCTTTTTTTCTATTCTATTTCTTTAATTCTTTCTTCCTAATACCGAAGCGTAGGGTAACCAACTGATTTTGGACCCCTAGAGGAAGTGAGATCACGTTTATGTCAAAATAATATTATTTGTTTATTATTATTATGCAATTTACATGCGGTTGTGTTCGAAAGCTACTCATCTTGGATGTAAAATGTCACTAGATGTTTTATTTATTGATATATACTCGAAAAATAATTCTTTTCACATCATGATATTCACATATTTTGGACCCTTCCACTTGATTTTGGACAGTGTCCATAATATATTTTGGACACACTGAATGGGAACGAATATATTTTGGACATGCTGAAGTTCTTTCAACCTATGAGCCTAAAATTAATTACGACGGTTACTTCTTCCTATCTCGCATTTGTTAGGTCCGTCTAGGTGGGAAAATTTTCAAAGAAGGTGCCGTAAAACGGGGTGAAATTGATCAGCGGGGTGAATTTGATCGCTGAGTATACCCAATATTGTACTTATGCATAATATTTTTACAATGTATACAAAGATACATTCGTACGCTTAGTAACGAAAAACATGTTACACATGAAAAAATATCACGAGAAATTTCAGCGATCTATTTTGCCCCGCTGATCAATTACACCCCGTTTTACGGTATGCATAAAAGTTAACCCCCCGTTACTCGCGCTGTTGTACTTTGTACAACACATATGAGTTTTCCATATCCCATTTTGTTGCTGCCAATCGATCTGAAACCAACTTGTATTCCTCAAAAAACTTGTTTTGAACTAAAAAAGCTAAACTTTGATTACAATTAACCCCCAAAATGCGGATAATAGAGAAAATGTAAATGGAAACCGCGTAAACGGTGTCCATACTACGTGGAATTGACTTAATTGGTTACAACATGGAATATCTCGAGATCCTGACCAGATAGAAAGTTACTGTCTTCGGCAAAGTTGTTCAGGAGGTCAAAGCCTATTTCTTAGTGTACAATAGTTCAGAATTATCTCACTTCGTGGTGCTAGTATACATGTGAAATTCTCGTGTATAAAATATCTCTAGATCCTGACCAGATAGAAAGTAAATGCCTTCAGCAAAGTTGTTCAGGAAGTCAAACTCTTTTCGTTGGTGGAGTAGTTCAGAAATTTCACACTACAAGGCGCTAGTATATACGTGTAATTCTCGCATATACAATAGCTCGAGTTCTTGACCAGCTAGAAAGTTACTGTATTGGGCAAACTTGTTCAGGGGGTCAAGACTTTTCGACTGGTAGACAGTAGTTCAGAATGTTCTCACCACGTGGCGTTTGTATACATATACACTTCTCGCATATGATATATCTCGAGATCCTGACCAAATAGAAAGTTACTGTCTTTGAAAAAGTTGTTCAGGAGGTCAAAGCCTATTGCTTGGTGTAGAATAGTTCAGAATTTTCTCACCATGTAGTTCTAGTATACACGTTAAATTCTCTCATATAAAATATCTAGAGAGCATGACAAGATAGAATGTTACTGTCTTGGGCAAAGTTGTTCAGGGGATCAAGGCCTTTTGGCTAGTGGACGGTAGTTCAGAATATTTCACTTCATGGTACTAGTATATACGTGCAATTCTCGCATATGATATATCTCAAGACCTGCTAAAAATGTACTGTAATCGGCAAAATTGTCCAGGAGATCAAACCCTATCGTTGGTGGAAAGTACATAATTTTCTCACTAGGTGACGTTGAAAGACACGTGAAATCCTTGCATATAAAATATCTCTGAATGACCCGCATACTAGTGCCACGTAAAGGGAAAATTCTGAATTACTGTACACCAACGAAAAGATCCTAACATCCTGAACAACTTTGCCGAAGACAGTAACTTTTTATATGATCAGGATTTCGAGATATTTTATATGAGAATTTCACGTACATACTAGCACCATATAGTGAAAAAATTCTGAACTATAGGCTTTGAACTCCTGAACAACTTTTTCGAAGACAGTAACTTTCTATCTGGTCAGGATTTCGAGATATATCACATGCGAGAACTTCACATGTATACTAGCGCTATGTAGTGAGTAAATTTTGAACTACTGTCCACCAGCAAAAAGGTTATGATCTCTAGAACTACTTTGGCAAAGACAGTAACTTTCTATCTGGTCAGGATCTCGAGATATTCCATGTTGTAACCAATTAAGTCAGAACCCTCGTAGTATGGACACCATTTACGCGGTTTCCATTTACATTTTCTCTATTAACCGCATATTTTGGGGGTTAACTGTAATAAATATTTAGCTTGTTTAGTTAAAAGCAAGTTTTTTGAGGAATACTCGTTGATTTAAGATCGATTGGTAGCTCGGCTGCAAAATAGAAATGGAAAGCTCACACTGTTATACAAAGAACAACGCGTGAGTACTCGTGTTACAAAAGTTGGCGCGAGTAACGGAGGAAATATAATATAACATAAGGAAACAACTGATCATACCATAAAAAAAATCATTCAGAAGTAAATCTTAATACGGAGACCTGACTCTATGCTTGCAGTCCATATTATTTTTTGTATGGGCTGTTCATAAACTACGTAGACGATTTTTGAGAGATTTCAACCCCCCCCCCCTTCCGTAGAAGACAGTCTCAAACACAAAATTTAAAAAATTGTATGGACCGTAGACATCTGCCAAGCGCTCCCACCCCCTAAAGCGTCTACGTAGTTTATGAACAGCCCCTTAGTTAAATACGTTTGGGAGATAGGAAAACTTTTGTGGAAAACTAGGAACTAGGAAAACTAGGAAAACTCAGAGTGGACCACTCTACGTGTTTTGCCGTTTTTCCCCCTTTGAATCGCCTGATAAACAAGAAATATATTTAAAAACAATGAATTCATATAATTTTGATTGATTTACTTACCAATTTAATCAGAAATCTGAGATAAAGCACGATCGACCAACCGGAATTTTTTTTTTTCGCTCTTTTGATGATTCTCATTTGATAAGTGTCCAAAATAAGTTGGTAACATTTTTTTACGATCTTTTTTGGACACTTTTTATTTAACACTTTTTAAGTAAAATCTTAAGGTGAAATCTTTATAAACACGTGAAATACATCTTCCAAAGTCAGATAAACTGATTTGATAAAAAAAAAAATCATTGTATTGTATATTTTAGACCAAATTTAAAACAAGTCCACTAACGTCGATTCCTCTTGACAAACGTCGAAACATGAAACTTTTTCGATAGCATTTTCTAAACCTGCATAAATTGAGCAATTGTAAGCAATTTGAGGTGAACTAATGATCTTGAGACATAGCAAGTAATTGAAAGAATGTAATTACAACATCAACCCAGATGAATTTGAAGAAACTAGACAGTAAGCGAGGAAAATATGTGAAAAGGGTCCAAAATATGTAGGGGTCCAATTCAAGTTGGTTACCCTATATCCGGTTCTATTCTGCTGTTTATTCGCCCACAACTTTGAGTTTAAAATACAAAGCAACCGCAAGGAGCTGGGCTTCGTTCAGGAGGACATT